CCAATACATAAGCAATTTATTCTGCAGATCTGGAAAACACTGAATTAAAATGTTTCTATGTGCATGCTTGGTTTCTGACACTTGTGTGTTATCAAGCCTGGGAACAGTTTCATTGCAGTCATAATATATTAGCAATACTGGTTTCAAAACTGCTAATGGGGAAAAGTGACATTGAACCGCTTGAAATTATATCATATACTGTAAGTCAAATGAAACCTTTGAAAGTTTAGAGATTTGCAGTATCCACAAGTACTTAATGCAACTGAGGCCAACATTTTTCTCTTTTACTACCAGTAGCAAATGATGCTTCTGCAACTCAAATTTCTTTTCCCTCAGGCCCATATGTTCATAAAAAGAAGACAAAAACTAGACAAAACAGTCAAGGCATCCTGTGTTAAGGAATTTATGATGTGGATTCTGATATTCTTGCCTGGAAAGTAGAGAATGTTCCCCCACAGTTCCTCAAGCAGTGTGAGACAGAGAGGAGGCAGCAACGCCTATTTGCATTTCCAGACCACTACCCACCACAGGCCCCATGACAAAGATGATTCCTGCTCTCTGCACGGAAGATGTTGCCCATCCACGTTTTTGTCTGTTTGTTTTTATTCCTTGACAAGGGATAGGAGCACCCCTTCATAGGCTGGGCTGTTAAAGCTCTATATTATGAAAGTTGCCACAGCACAAAGAAGCAGAGTTGGTCACAGGAAAAGTTTTCTTTTTCCTTTCTTTTCTTCTTCCTTCCTCACATTTTCTTTTCCTTATTTCTTCCTTTCATTACTTCTTTCTCCCTTTCCTTCTTTCTTTCCTCCTTCTTCCCTTTTTTCTTTTCTTTCTCTCTCTCCCTCACTACCTCCCTCCCTCTCTCTTTTTCCTCCTTCCTTTATTTTCTTCCTTTCCTTCCCTTCCCTTCCTCATATTTCCTTTCTCTTTCTTTTTTTTTCCTTTTAACAGAAAAGCAGTGTTGACTTACATTGAAATAGCTGAGTACAAACAAATATAGAAAAATGTTGGAGACCAAAGCAGCAAACATCATAAGGAAAGTCATTTTTCAACTTTTCAAACTTTTAACACATTTTTACATTGTAAGTTTCAAAACTATTCAATGGGGGATTTTCAGGCCTCATGAATCAGATTGGCTACAACCTCATGATATCCCTACTAATGGCATTTGACTCAAGAAATTACAATGATCTTAGTGAGGGCTTGTGGCAGAAAAAAGTTCTATACTTGCTAAGCAAATTAAATTTATCAAAAGTATCCTAAGAAAATAGAAAAGTGTACTTTTGAAGATATTCTATGTAAGTGTTAACTTTCTAGCATCTAATAAAAAAACAATTATGAACCTTGTTAATCATGACTATTGAAATACACTAGAATTATGAAAGGTTTTAACTTAGTCCTTTTCTACTTTCATATATTTATGTCCTGAATAGGTGTGTACCTCTGAAAATGCTTAGTAATTATGAAGGACAGATGATCAATCTTAATTAAATTTCACATGTACTGCTTCACACAACTGCACACACATGTGTAATAATCTAATTGTTAGTTGCACCTGCTCCAAGTTAGCGAAGCACATGGCAATTTTGGTATTTTCAAGTGTTATTCTGTTGAATATAATCCAAATTTTTGTTTCAATGATGTATAACATACTTGTGTCTCGTGGGTGTCTGATGTATAAAATGTGGGTGGAATTTATTAACCTTACTTGAAAATAAAGCTGTCTTCTATCTAAAATATACTGTGTTCTTCCATATTACAACATAGAACTGTTCTCACTGAAACACAGTAGTGTAATTTCTCCAACATCTATAGGAAGTTCCCTGTGATTTAACCAAACATTGGATAAAAATGAACATTCTTTGAAAGTTGTAAAAACAAAGTTCAATTGTTCTTGTCTTATAACATTACATCTACCACTAAAAATGCAGGGAAATATATATATATATATATATTTGGTATATGAAGTTTTCACTTTCATTGTATTAGGGGTACAATGACTTAAAAAAAGCCTTCTTGTGATTATAATTTATACTCCACAATGATCAAATATGATTCCAGGGATCACATCCCCTTTTACAGGAATTAACATGAAATCTGAAGTTGTCATAACAATTTAGGGAACAGATTTTAATTTATGATGCATAGAGATGAATGCATTCTCATGAAAAAAAATAAATTTGTTGTCAATAGTATCAAATTCTGATTTTTTTCTTATAAACTGGTAACCTGACTTTTAAAAGGAATATGTTTATCTATATTTGTGTAAGAAGCAATTAATTAAAGTCATATTGAATATGACTAAAATCAAATATAAAGTATCCTGGCCCATAAATTTCTATGAAGATTGACTTATTTTGGTTGTTATATTGTCTGCTTTAATAATAACATGAAGAATGAAGTCCACACATCTGCCACATTAAGAGATATCATCCTCTACTTAGAACAGCCACAAGCTGATAAAGATGAAAATATTCATTTAAGTTTTAGTAAGGTAGAAATACTCTGCTGACAAGATTGCAGATTCACGTTTTTAGAAAAGTACAGTTTCCTTCTTAGACCACCATTGGCTTCAATTCATTTGAATAAACCTTCGCTTACAGCTACAAGAAAAGATGCTTAAGTATCATGGCAACACATATTACACATTTCAAAAGTACACTAAACAGGATAAACTTATGATAAGCGTGCTACATAAGTAAGAACAGAGTCCGGGAAGCTGGTTTACTTGTAAAACAGTATTCATTGTAGGTCAAAGCTACACAAACTTTTAAAAAACATACCAAGAAAAGGAAGATACATAAACACCCTATTGTTTCAGTGCAGTACTTGGCAACTAATAATTTGCTGCTGAAGAATTGTTTTTTAAAAAGAACACTGAATACCATATTTGTATGAGCCAGTGATTATCAAGAATCCCTGAGCTTGTATGATCATATCTCCCTATCAAACCAAATGGGTTTCTTTGTTCTTTGTTTTTTGTTCAGCATCTGCATTAACATGGCTGCTAATTATATTAGCCTGCTGACACATAAAGTCTGAATAGGAAAATCACATGATTCTTAAAGAGCATAAAATGCTCCTTTGGATTCAAATGTGTCCTTCCTTAGATTGAACACTTCTGCATTCTAGCTAACTCTGGCTTGTTGAACTTAGCTATGATGCACAATTTGTTTCCTAAGTGTTATAGCACTTGTCCAACGCACCACTGCATGCATGCTTGTGTACACACACACACACACACACACACACACACACACACACACCCAGATACACACTTGGGGAACCTGTAGTTTTATTTCTGCTACTTTATGGTTTTTGCTCTCCTATCAGTATACTTACACTTTCCTAACATTATCTTAACTTCTTAAGGAGTTTGCATTCATCACACAAATGTTTTGTTTATCAAATGGTTACATTCACCACAATAAAGTCCAACTAATTAAAAAAGTTACAAATTAACTCCACCCACCCAGCCACTCATTTTCAGAGTCTTGTGCTTTTATATTGTGAATCATCAAATGTATTCTTTTCATACATAAAACCAGAATATTCTGAAAATGTGTATACATTTTTGCACAGTTAGCTAACAGTGAATGTTCTCATTCTTCTGATTAGCTTTAGCATCAAGAGCACAAATCCTTTGTTGCAAAACTTACAAGTACCTGTAGTACAGAAGTGTAACCAGTTTACACACTACTAAGGAAATGCTACATTCTACATTCTTAACATGTTCATACTTCCATCTTCTTTTTCTTACAACCACGTGCAAAAGCACATCATTCACAGATCAAAAAAATAAACCATCAGATAACTTTCTTTGGAAAGAAATACATGCAGAGGCAATATCCAGCATACAGCACTGCTTCAGCTAAGTATTAAACATAACAAGAAACATTTGTGGGTTTCCGAACCCTGAAGACAGTCTTCTAGGAGGCTGCATGGCAAGCCTTGTTCTTTTGAACTCTTCACTGACTGGACACTCAACAATCACCTTCAGCTCAAAGTCCTTTCTGCCTTTAGGAGACGATTGTCGGAGAGGTGAGTGACTTTTGAGAATAATGTTCCATTCTCCAAGAAAAACTGTTTGACAGTAAGTATAGGCAAGCACCTTCCACCGCACATTAACCACATGCAGGGTGGTATACTTCCACCTCTACACCCTCACCTCAGATGCTGCTTTGAATACCATCTAGGAAGTGGAATCCAAAGACATCGTGTTGTTTTCCATTATCGGTTCCTTGCCTCTTTGAAACTGCACATTCCTCAAAAAGTCCACCTAGTTCCTCACCCATGGGAACAGACAGGATCTATTTTAGAAGCAATAACACACACACACACACACACACACACACACACACACACACACACACACAATGGGATTCAGGACATTTTCCTGGGGTGTCTGTGTAACATTTGTGACTTAAGGGTTATTGATTCAGTCCATGGTGATGGTGTTGCTGAGTTCATCTAAGTATTGTTCTTCAATCTACACAGTTTTAAAACTCTGAGACTTGCAATGGCACTGACTGTCCCAAAGCATTATACTTACAAGGCAATAAATTAAAAGAAAAATAATACCCCTTAGTTAAGAAACAAAGAAGCTACAAAAGAAGAAAAGTCAAAAATTCCACATGCTTCAGTTTAACACCTATGTAGCGAATTCTATGTGGCAGTCACGTTGCTACATTAATAGAAACTCAAAGCATAAAGGGACAAGAGTTACATCTTGCTTTCCTTAAAGAAATCAAACACAAGTATACCCTACACTTGCCAAACAGTCAGCGGAGGGATAGACACGAGTGAGGGAGCAGAAAGGCTCGCCTCTCCTGTACCCCACAGTGTGTCTCCTTGAAATAATCTTAGATATAGGCAATATATACTGTCACCTTCCCTCCTTTTCCTCCACCATCCTAACCGATGGCAGACCCTTTCCTCCACTCCCCTGCACACAGTCTCAAAGATACATTACAGAATAAGAGGACCCAAGTGTCACTTACCAGTTGCATGCCACAGATAAAGATAAGCGTGCACCTGCCACTGCAATAACCCATGGTTTCCGAGACCCCTGCCACAGCCAGACTGTCCCACGTCGGCCACCGTCGAGCCCCCACTTTATCCAATCAGATGGCGGGGAAGGAGAGGCAAACCTGCCGAGGGCTAGGGGGCTGCGGGCTGCCGCTGCCAGCGTCCTGGGAAGTGACTGGCATTAGGACCTGCTGGCGCGGCGTCGGCGGCGGCAGCAGCTCCAGCCGCGCCCGCCACACATACCTTCACTCGTTCGGTGCACACGCCGCGCCGCGGGCAGCGCCGCCTGCGGAGACGAGCCCGGGGCCCGCAGGGGCAGCAGCAGCAGCCTGGCAGCGCCGCCGCGCCCTCGGGCATCTGGACCCCGAAGTTTCGCCCCCGCCGCTTCCGCGCCGGCTCGGCGCACGGCACCCCCCAGCGCGGCCGCCGCCCGACGCGCGCTCGCCCCGCACTCTCCGCGCGCCGGCTCCGGGGGGTGGTGGAAGCGTGCGCGGGGCGCTGCCCGCCTCCCTGCGCCGCCCGCGGCTCCTCGGCGCCCGGCGTTGCGGGGCCCGGCGGGCGGGGCGCAGGCCGGGCGGGGGCGTCCGGGCTCCGCGGTCGCGGCGGCGGCTGCTGCGCGCAGCGATGCCAGGTCCTCGCCGCGTCCCTGCAGCGGCCCTGCCCCTCCCCGACACCCCACACGCCCTGCTCCCGAGGTGATAATCCTCCTCCAACAATTCCTACAACCTGCTCCCTGCCGCTCCTCCCTGGGCGCCAACTTGGCTTCCAGGTTGGGCAGCTGCGGGGCGGGAAGGAGCGGGCTGGAGCGGTAGCTGCGGCAAGGGTGGCGGTGGGTACTTCGGGGCGAGGGGTCCAGGCGGGCACGCCCGTGACTGGCCGGGCTGCTGTGGGTCCTAATCCAACAGTGAAGCCCAAAGCACTAGGCGCGAGCAAGCCGGGGTGTGCGCAGCTTGAGTGTGCTCGGGGAAGAAGGGACCGGGGAAAGGAGAATGCGGGGTGGTGAGATGGGGCGAGGCGAGGAGAAGGCTCAGAGGCCTCCAGAACACCGGGCGTCTTCCAGCCGGTCCCTCTCCAGGGTTTGAGGTCCAGGGAGTGCAGAGTTTTAGAGCCTGGGGAAAGGGTCCGAGTGGCTGCTGGAGTTGAAAAAACTGAGTAACCGAAGAGGATAGGGACGCAATGAATTGCCGTACTTGCACCAAACTGTTGTTTATTTTCACTCAAAACAGTAAAGGTCGGAGACAATTTTAGGAAGCTTTTGTTACTTAGGCTTGACAGACCGTCCCGCCCGGATGCTCGAACTGGGCTCTGCGCTACACCTGCTGTCCTCCCACTAGGCACGCATCGGAGCCCGCTGCTGCCACCTGCGGGCGCAAAGCTGAAGGGAGCAACGCCCCTCGGGCATGGGTACTGAGAACCCAGGGACCAGATTTTGCAGTGTAATTGTGGGCAGCTGGTGAAAGCATTTCTGACTTTGTCGGGAAGCGAAGATGTGAAGGAGGTTCACTAGGGAAACCGGGTCATCGGACTGAGTTGTCATGATTTATATGCAGTTTAAGTAGGGAGTGTGTCTCCAGCTAGCCTGCCGGAGTCTAGGCCTGATTGGAACCTCATCAGAACAACCTCACCAGTCAAATGGGAAAATGCCATTTGTATATGGTTAAGTTGTGCTTGGAGCCACAAGCAAAGATTCTGAATGATTGCTCTCTCTGAACAAATATTATGTCATATCAAAATAACTAACTAGAAATTGAATAGGACATAGAGGCTCTGTTCTCCCACAACCTGAGGCTGAATTTTCAGAAATATTTTTTTCTGTGCTAAACAGCAGGAAAAGGACTTGATGTGTTAAATTTGTGAATACGAGTATTTTTATTATTCTAATGAGGATGTCTGCTTTTGATCCTACCATTTGTAGATGGCCGTTTCTTTCAAAAAAGCAACTTTTGAGGTTCAGTGTCATCCTCAAAGCCCCTACCGTGGATCCTGGCAGGTCTCAGCACCTCCATAACACGTGGAGAGACTGAGGTCACAGGTGGTTGAGTGACAAATATTTCTGGTAGCTCTAACTTACCTTTACATGTATGTGTCCAGGAGCTGCAAGGTTTGAAAGTATTTTGTATTTCTAAACCAAAATACAGTTGCCATTAGTTCAATGGAGTAAGCATCATCAGGTGAGCATAGTCCAAAATAATCTATTGTGTATTTTGGAAATAAAGATGGAGCTGAGAGAGTGGTGTTGAGTGGCTTGATTGGCACACATGTACATGTTTTGAAATGCCCCCACCATGGGCCAGAAACATGTTCACTTGTTGCTAATAAGTGCCTTTTAAAGAAATGAGCAAATTTAAATGAGTTGCTTAAAACGCCAGTAAGTCACAAGTTGTGTTTCTAAAGAAAATAGAAATAAAAGTTATTGCTAAATGTTAAAGAGCCTGCTGCAGTATCATCTAAAGCATTTAGGTGCTCACTTCAATTTATCATAGCACCAATAATGCACTCATGCAGATCCATCTGTAAGACCGTAATGGCTTCTTGAACAACAGCCGCCTGGACGCTCAAGGCTGAGCAGGCAAAGTCAACGCATGATGCTCTATATAGCTGACTGAGCCTCATGAATAGTCTTTGGAGCATGTCCGTTCAGGAGCTACATGCCTTCTCCCTGTTGGCATTGGAGATTTGTGTTATAGTTCTAAAATATGTATTTGAAAGGCAGAGTTACAAGAGAAAAAAAAAAAAAAACAATAATAGAGGACTTGCATCTTCTGGTTTGCTCCTGCAGAGGCTGCAGTGACTGGGCTGGGCCAGGCAAAGCCAGGAGCCAGACACTGCTTCTGAGTCTCCCATTCCACTGACAGGGACTGCAGGAATTGGGACATCTTCAGCTGTATTCTCAGGCACTTCACCAGCGGGATGGACTGGAAGTGGAGCAGCTGATTGGCACCTATGTGGGACTATATATTCTCCAAGCACAGCAAATGTGGGAGAAAGCACGATTCAGGCACATGGAGGAACCTTCCCTCAAGCATGAACAGAGTTGGTGGATATATTCCAGTTTCTTCAGCCCACACATGGCAACCCCCAAACATTTTCTAATTTACAACATGAACATTGCAACTGGATTTGAGCCTTCCTTACCCATAGTGGTAACCTGTTCATCCAATGTGATGAACTAAGAGATAAATGAACTGTTACGTGAACGGCCTGGGTAAGTATTCTAAAGCAGGATGCCAAGGCCAGCCAGAAATAACACACACTTCTACATCTCTTTTGTCTCTTTCTTCCTCCTCATTTCCTCCTCATTTCTGTATTCTGTTAGTATTCCCTGTGACCTAACCCAGTTCATGCAAATTCTTTTGTAAGAGGCCACTTGAGAAACCTGTCTGGAAGCAGTTACCAAGGACCTTTACTCCTAACGTGACATCATTGGCATGGCAATCTCATGAGAGTGAACCACAAGGCGGTTCAATGTCAAGCACCTAGTGTCTGGGGTGCCAAATCTGTACCATCTTACTCATTAATGAGTCCTGTGATTTGGTGTGATGCTTGTTTTAAAGACAGAGAAGCAAATCCCAATTACAGGCATACACTTTCTTGGGTGCAGAGTTAGTTTGAAGGTGTTCGGGATGCCCAACATGAGTGTCTAAGTCACTGTCCTTACTGACATTTTGTTATACTTCTTTATTCTTTGGAAATTCTGGACAGAGTGATGACAAAAATATTGAGAAGAAAATGATCACACATTTTTATCTCTAGATTCATATAATTTAGGTTAAGCAGAGGTAACACCTGATTTATGAAAAGTACTCTCGTTAAGGGTACAAATTATTTTCTCAAGGTGTGCCCTTCTTTCATTCATCATATTCTCTAAAACTAGGTAATTCGTTGGGAAGACTGAAGACAAGACTTTGGTCATTTCATAGAAATGCAGGAAGGAGCAGGGTCATAAATTGGAATGTCAATTATGTTTTCATTTAGGAATAAGGTCATAAACTATTTAGCTGTATAAGGCACTAAGGGCTTTCATTGACTACTCTGGTGACATGACTATTGTTAATTGCCTGTTTCTGTAGGGAAAATGTGTTATACATTCCATACCTCCATCTGGCTCACCTTGGCATCCTGCTTTAAAGTACTTCTCAAGGTTGTTTTACACCTATTATCTCATTTATCTCTCAGAATAACACATGAAGTGCAGTGGGTGTACAGCAAACGAAGCAAGCTGCAATCTGTTCACTCTTCAGTCACATCAGCTGGAGTAAAAGCTTAAAACCTGGATTTGCAACTCCTCTGAGCAGTTTCACCATGACATTTTCTCAATCTCATCACAGTTTAAAATTTAATAGCAATAATTTTCTGTACGCTTACAAACCAACAGACTAAATTCATTGACTATACTACACAAAAGGGTATGTTTTCTCTTGTTTAGATAATGATGGCTCTCAGGAAAATAATACATTTTTAAATATTTATAGCAAATAAAAATAATCTCTCATAATCCTACTTCCCAGAGATAATCTTTTTTTATACAAACCACTTTTAATAAAAATAGGATTATATCATGCATAACATATTTTACTTGCTCAATATTTTCACTTTTAAATAAAGAACATATATCTAGATCATTAACCATTCAGTTCATGGACTTAGCAGATGTAGTGCTTAGCTTCATAATCCAAACCCTGCCATTTACCAACTGTGTGGTCTTAGGCAAGTGCACTAAGGTCTCCATGCCATCATTTCTTCATCTACAAAAAGGGAAAGGTAATAATGCACAAACAGCATGGGACCATTCGGAGGGTTAAATGTCAGCACATGTAGAATTTTAGACCAGCATCTATCATATAGTTTATTTCTTGATTCTTAGTTGTCATCATATTTGTCACATCATTGATTTATTGACTAGAAAATTCCAATTATCTGAATCATCCATTTATTTTTTATACCTATAACTCTTGTACTGGGCAAAACAATTAGCCCTCTAAATATATCCTATTATGATTCTTACAGCCTATAGATCTGTTGTCTTATAAAGTGAAGGAAAATTTGAACAACTGAATAAGAACCTTAAAATTGGGAGAAGTTCCAAATTGTTTCAAGAGGGGACAACTCTACTTATATGAGCTAGCCTTTGAAAGCAAACCAGCTTTTCAGGCAAGGAGGTGGAGGGTTGAGAGGA